TTTTGAATGCCTCTAGTGTGGGAGACCCCACAGCCTCCCTAAGTAATTGGTTCCATTGGTACCATTGTCATACTGCTCCAACAGTTGGGAAATTCGTCCTACTATCTAGCCAGAATGTGGCTTCCTGCAACTTAAGCCCATTATTCCATGTTCCACACTGGGATAATTGAGAAGAGATCCTGTCCTTCCTCTTTGTGACAACCTTTCAAGGAGTTGCAAAATGCTATCCTATCTCTCCTCAGTCTTTTCTTCTCAAAGTTAACATGCTCACAATCTCTCCTTTTAGAGCTTTGTTTCCAGGCCCTGAATGATCCTTGTTGCCTCCTCTGAATTCCTTCCAGTTTGTCCACATCCTTCTTAAACTGTGGTACCTAGAAATGGACCCAGTACTGCAGATGAGGCCTAGCCAGTGCTGACTGAAAGAAAAATAGTACACTATGGGATTTGGATGTGATACTTCTGTTAATGCAGCCTAAAATACCATTTCCACATTTCTGGGTAGACACGTCATAGCTATATTTCTTTATTGTTTTCTATGATCAGCTCTACCTAATGCAATGGAGGGAATAGGGGAAAATGCCATCAATAATGACCAAGAAATTCTATCTGCAGAGAACCAAATGCTGAGTTCTGGTTGTCATTTTCCTTTCTCTATGGATATCATTGCTTCCATGTTAGTCACAGCTACTACTGACCTTCCTCATTGAATAGATGGTAGGAAAAGGCTTGCTTCTCTGTATTTGAGCTGAATGTGATCTCTACTGATTGCCTCCTTTCTTCATTTATAGAAAAGTTAGAGCTTTCCCAATCTTTGACATTCAGCTTCCAGGATTTCTGACCACTGACTCTGCTGTTTGGGAGCTGGTGTTTAAAGAAGCTGGGCAACATCAAGTTGGGGAAGGCTGAGTTAGAGAAATGGCAGCTGGGAATTTGGTCAAGCTAATGGTTCAAACTGGTACCAGAGGACAAATCCAGAATCTAAGTAAAACCCAGCCAGTTGAGGCATGTGGCAATCCTACCATTGCAGTAAATATATTTCCGCACCAGGACTTTAAGTCATTTGTGAGAAAACTGTGAAACCCAGGCTTCCGTTTAATTGGCACGTTTGATCCCCTAAGCTTTCTGGAGATACAACAAAGCCCACACTTGTTTTCTCATCAGCTCTGTATCACCAAGTAATTGCTTGATTGAGTAAAACTACGAGAGGCAAACATCTTCTGCATTACTTTCTGATGAGGAGAGGGGGATCTCCCTAGGCACAGACTTATTTTTTTGATTGCTTTTCTTCTAGCATGAAGACTCGGCTGCTTGTGATACTTTCTGTGAAATGAGAGGCAGAGAGGCCTTTCAGCCCTCTTTCCTTTCCCAGACCTGCACAATCCCCAAACAAAGCTGTTTACAACATTTCTGTGACTAAAATAATGCAATATTAAAAACAAATCAACAGCTGGAACTTCCATTGGCGGCATATGGTGGCTGGTCTCACACTGCTGGAAAAATAAAGTAGCGAGGAACAAAGAACAGCAAAGAAAGGTGGGGGAGATGCATCTGTCCAATGTGATCGCAAAGAAATACAAGATAACATGAAATTCTTGCATGTGTGTGTGCACACACACAAATGCATGTACTGGATTTTAGGTCCACTGGTGAGGTTCACTTTCTTTCTTTCTTGTTTTTTGAATAAGTTTTATTATAAATAAACCTAACACGAAAGAGACTAAAAACAACATCAATCATCAAAAACATCAGACCTACTGGGTCAGCCGCCCACATTTTTTCTTTTTATGTTAAACTATAAACATATTTAAATCTATGCATAGTCCCATTTCTCTAGCCAATGATAAAAAGAATCCCAACTTTGATAGAAGTCTGTAACTTCTTTCTCCTTCAGCGACAAAGTCAATCTGTCCATTTCTGCACAGTCCAAGATCTTTTTTAGGATCAGTTCGTCGGTAGGTGGCTCTTCACTCTTCCAGTGTTGGGCAAATGCAATCCTAGCCGCAGTAATTACATGTAGAGTCAAATACATTGCTTGTTTACTATCATCATCAGGTATAATGCCTAATAGGAAAACTTCAGGTAACATTGTTTTGTAACATTTCCTCAAGCCATTTGTGTATTTTAATCCAATACTTTTTTGCCTTATCACAGGTCCACCACATATGATAAAAAGTACCCGATTTAATAGGCTAACCTATTTGGCGACAAATACCATCTATAAAACATAGGTTTTCTTTGTATGAAGTTGCTAATGTTACTTTAATATTTCTTTCCCACAGCTTTTGCCATTTCTCTAATTCAATATTATATCCAAAGTTTTGCGCCCATGTTGTAAGGTTCACTTTCTGACTGAGAGATGAACAACTACCAGCAAGGTCCAACAGAAAAGCTCTTTATTGAAGCCTGCCTTCAGAGGGAGACCAGCTCCCCAGATATACCATAGAATCATAGAAGAGTAGAGTTGGAAGGGGCCATGAAGGCCACTGAGTCGAACCCCCTGCTGTTTCAGGACACCACATTACACCATCCCACTCAGATGGCTGTTCAGTCTCTTTCTGAATGTCTCTAGTGTGGGAGAGCCCTCCACCAAGCTAGGCAGCTAGTTCCACTGACTGTGCTCTGACTGTGAGGAAGCTTTTCCTGATGTCCAGCCTGAATCTGGGTTGTTGCAACTTGACTTGATTATTCTTTGTCCTACACTCTGGCATAAGCAGGAAGAGCTCTTGACCTTGCTCTTTATGACAGCCTTTGAGGTACTTAGAGAGGGAGATCATGTCCCCCCTCAGTCTTCTCTTCTCAAGGCTGAACATGCCCAGTTCTGTATATATGTTTTTATCTTAGCATGCTCTTCAGTCACTAGTCATCTTGACCTATACCCATCTACACTTTGATCTTGCCTCCTTCCTATAGTTAGCCTTTCAAGGTAGGACATGCTGTTTTTCCCCATTCCACAACTATCTTTGCAGCAGATAAAGAAGCAGACTGACACCAGTCACTATCTTCCTGGTTTGTGTCCTTTAATTCTGACATCAGTAGATCAAGATTACAAACAGGAATGCCATTTCAGGTATGCAGTTTCTGTTAAACTACTTTTTATTCATATACTGCATGCAATTGCAATTTTTCTCTCTATCATATGCAGGAGCTGGTTTGGGGATATGTGCTTCCCATGCAGCTGAGGTTTCCATTTAATCCCAATGGGATTTCATAGTGTTTCTTTCTTTTAAGTGGGGCAGACTGTAGCATTCCCCCCACCCCCATATCAAAATGTTTGTATTTTTTTGTGCACATCCAAGGCATAGATGCATTTTTCCAGGTTCAGTGTCTCATACAATTGGGATCATGTTTTTATATGTTATTTTTAGGTGTTTAAATCTGAATAAATTGAATCTTTCTCTGCTTTGTCTTTAATCTATATGTATTGGTGTTCTATATGCAAATCCACCCATCTGCCATGCATTCCCACTGTAAAAATCCTTGTCGGTTTCACAAAAGCAGGACTGCAATGGAATATTAAGAAAACAAAACTGGCTACAGAAGGATCACTCAACTTTACTGCCAACAATGAAGAAACTGAATTTGTGGAAGATTTTGCATACCTCCGCTCAGTCCTTAATTCAAAGGGAAACAGTAGTCAAGAAATTAGAAGACTGAGACTTGGAAGGGCAGCAATGAAGGAACTAGAGAAGATTGTCAACTGTAAGGACATTTCACTGGAAGCCAAGGCTAAGATCATCCGCACTATTGTACTCCCAGTCACTTCATATGGGTGTGAAAACTGGGCCACTGAGAAGCAAGCCAAGCCAAGATGAAGTCTGTGAACACTCCAAATGCACAACCAACAACTTCTTCTACAGCATGTGCAGCACAAAGGCTACAAGTCATGTGTGTGGAAGAGGGGCACCATTGCTCAGTGCTGGGGAGGTGGGTGCTTCGTAGAGGGTGCCTTGTGAATGCTAGGTATATTCATTAGGAAGTTGAACTCCTGCCTGCAAGAAAGCAGTCCACAGCCTAGAGCGATAAGCCCAGGGAATCGCATTCCCAGAATAGATTCTTCCAATCTTCACTTTATAACCTTGAAACTACAAGGCCATCTGCCTTCCTTTGCCCCTCTATCTCTGCCTCTGAATTTGAAGAAGTCATTTGGGGACACTGCAACTGAGAAAGCTTAAACCCTTCTCTAGAATATTCAATTTCTTTATTTTTAATTTCATTTGGAATTTCATATTATGCTTTATATGGTATTTCACTTAAGGAAGGCGGCACTATCCAAAGGAGGGTAAGAAATGCATTAAATTAGTCATCCTTAGCCTGGTGCTGTTCAGTCATTTTGAACTACAACTCCCAGCATTCCTCACCACCAACTGAGCTTTCAGCCTCTCGGTGCAGACTTTCAGCTGGCTGAGCCAGTTGGGGAAGGCTGCTGCCATAGCAAAGATAGATCCACCACACCATAGCCCTTCCCTCACCCACAGATGCCCCCTCCCGTGGTGCAAGTAGAGTCGAAAAAAGCCTCCGCTGGCCCTGATTACAGTGGAGAAGGGGGAGTTTTTTGAGGATGGCTACAGCACTGGAGAAAGCAGTTGGTCCTTCCCTTCCCTCCAAAAATGCTACTCTTCACTGCAAAATGTCCTTCCGTGCTGCAGTTAGGCACTGCGTCAAAGGAGGCTTTTGCAAAGCTGTGTGCCCGTGGAAGCAATAAAATGGCCTTGTTGGCAGGCAGTGACTGGACATAAGTCAGGGAAGCCGGTGGCCCAGCTGAGGACTTCCTGAGGCCCAGACTCAGTCCAGAGGTTGCAGATTGCCCAGTCCCATCCTACAATGGAAGGTTGCAGCATGTACACTTCTGATTTGGCATATTGACATGACTTAACCTCAGCACAGGCTGCCTGAAGACTGTAACTGCCCAGGAGTGAAACAGCTGAATGCCTAGGCCCTATTTAATTATATGGGAAACATTTAAAAGAGAAACAAAATACAACAAAAGCAGTGCTGCTTACGAAGGAGAAGTCTTCAGCATTCTGGCAGAGTAGCTTGGGGAAAATAGCCTGTCTCTGAAATCTTTCCTCATCTTCAAAAATGTTCCCATACATAAAGCCATTCATCATAGTGGAGTGAGCATGGATGTCAATATAGAATTCCAGGGTAACTTTCTGTATGGAAGAAATACACACATATACAAGATAAATTGAAAACGTATTTCAAAAGAGAATCCAGCTATAAAAGCAATGTCATCCCTGAAAATCAAAACATACAGCAGTAAAGATTGTTGTGCCAGAATGAAGATAGTGTACCAATTAGGACTCCTTCAAGTATTTTCCAAAATGGAATGTATAGTCCTAAAATTGACACTCCTGCGCAGAAGTTTCTCTTTGAGATTGTTCACACATCTCATTCTTGAATGGAAATTTGTCAGTCACCCTTCCTGAAATTACAGGAGTTACCCTAGATCTGAATGCCTTTGCAGAGGAGATAGGAAGAATCCTTTTGCTCCCAGTCCACCAAGAACCAGAAATGGCACAGTTCATTGATTATCTAATCCCTCCATGCCAAACCATTGCAAATAATCTAAGAGATTAACTTGCATGGCTTTTGCTCAGAGAGAGGTCACTTCAAATCATACATTCATGTACATTTTGTAGAGTTACTTTTCATCCAGCTGCTACCCAGCTTAGAAAAGAGCTGCATAAAATTCTCACCTCATGGTGACATTTCACTATATGCAGGAGACAGGCATTCTTTATCGTGCCTGACTATATTTCCAGCTGAGAGTCCCCCTCCTTCTGCCAACAGCCTCCTCCTCATCAGAGGAGGTGGAACCAGCAGCACTTACTGGGCTTAGAACTAGACTTATGACCTGCTGAACTTCACAACCAAAATATGGTGCCCAAATTCATCTTTTTCCTCCTTCCTCACAATTCCCCTTCTTCTTTGTTAAGTCTTTTAGATTATAAACTTCTGAGCAGGGGCTTGTTTTATTTTTCATCTTTGCAAGCCAGTCTGGGAGATTTTTTGGCTGAGAAGTAGGATCAAGATGCTATCAACCAATCAGTCAATCACTCACTTATGAGAACATGACTATTCTTTCCATGGGCACACTCATACACTGAATTACAAACTAATGTTTGCCAGTTGTTACTTTCCTAAAAACCACACACCCACATCATTAGTTATTTATTATACCTTTCAACTGATAAATTAAGCCCAAATAGTGCATTGGCCCCACTGTAAAACCACTGGGAAAGTGTTCTTGAAAAAGAGGAGGAGGAGGAAAAAAAAAAACCTGGAGGGTTGCACTAAAGAACCTGTAAACAACTACGACTAAGAAATGATGAGCATGGAATGAATAGCTTGAATTAAAAAAAAGCTTGCTGGCTACTTGAGCTTTGTGGCTCTGTGAGAAATAAGTTAGAGGGTGAAATGATCAGGTGGTACTATAGCATTTATTTACATAGTGAGAGTTGTCATCTGTCTTATCCTAAAGACTAATGAATACAGTCATCCCCTCAATTAATCATCCATATTTGCTTAGAGTATATTCCCACCTGGATACTCCCCAGACTGGAGCCAGAATTCAATTAGGATGGTGGAAATAGACCAACAACCAAAACATCTTTGGCGATTCTTCTCATTCCTCAGTAGCCCAACCCTCCTTAGCAACATGCTCAGCTCTTCTCCAGTAATTAGTTCTGAAGGGGACAGTTGCCAGGCAGTAATACCCATTAGGAGCAAAGTATTATGGATGTTCTTTTTTATGAGTCACAGTATATAAAAGAAGAAAATAAACTTCCCTTTCATTCAGCCTGCAGTGACGCTATTATAACACAAATATTTGTAGCAGAAAGAATCTTTTAGTTTGGAACTACAAAGATGCTGTACTAGCCTGGCAATGGCCAAGAGCAACAGAGTTATTCTACTAGCACACTTCAGCTTTCTACTTCGTATTTCTGGTATTCGCTAAGTGACGGGGTATGACTACACAGAGATATCTTGGAGACGGCACTGTAGCTGATTTAAAGTATACACTATGATTTTTCAAAAGTAATGCCCTTGCTTATACTATCATCCATTCTGAGTTAGACAACTTGTTCCCATACAAGAAGTTTGTTTGGAATACAAGGAACCTGCAAAAACGAAAGGCTATAACAAAGTTACTCAAAATGGAAGGCACAAAATCCTGGAGAATCTTAGTTAGATATGGCTGTTGCTGAAGTGAGACTCAGCTATTTGTATCCAGCCCACAGACTTTCATGGTGTAAAAAAGGGGCAGGTGAAGGAAACGACAGAAATCTCACTAGTTTAGCTACTACACTGGCAAATGAAAAATGTAATCATACTAGAGGATTGTGTATGTGAGGAAGATGAAGGAGAACAAAACAGAGTAATGGTTGGTTTAAAGTATGGTGATTAGTCAGGTACATTTACTTTGAGGGACTGGGGAGCATGGTCCAAGAGCTACTAGGTGGTACAGAAATAAAATAAGTAGCAATAAATAAATCATAATTTGTATAAATGGCATCCTTCTGCATGGGAATGGATCCAGTGAAAGCTTCCATGAATGGTTGAGGGAAGATACTGTTGCTACTTCTCCCTTCTTTCTGTAGCTCAAAGGGCATCCCAAAAGCTTCTTCGGAAGGCATCATTTAATAGGGGTAACAGGATGCTGCAGGAAAAAGGGAGAATCCGCTAATATGGCTTCCCTCCCACTTTCATTCATGGAAGCCTCCACTGCATGATAATGCCTTCGTTGAATGGAAGGGCACCACTGGCTGCCACACTATACCTTGCAGTATTGTGAAACTGTGTAGACAGTGGCATTAAAGTTCCATACCTATTAGACACTAGGCTCTGCCCCAGTAAAACTGGGGTACCTGGAGGGTATGTTAGCTTCAGTTCAAATTCTGTGACTGAGTTGGCCTATGAAACATAAGTGAATATTAACATGTTGGATTTTAAAAATGTTATGGAACAATCTCTGCTCCTCAAGTGATCATACATGTAGTTTCAAACATTTCTTGTGCTTTCTAAGTAGTATTTGCAGGAAGTGTGTTCCTTTCTGCACTTCCAATTCAGAACATTGATGTCTTTGGAAGACCATTGATTGAAGGGCCCAAGGAAAAATGTTACTAAGAGCTAATGCTGTTACAAGCAGAGTTGATATCCCAGGGCAATTATGAATCTTAGGCACAGAGTTTTTTTTAAAGAATCAATAAAAGCTATAAAACAAAAAGGGATAAATCTGTATTTAGGCCCAAACATGAACCGCTGGAGAGGAAAGGTAGTTTTGTCAACCAGCTGTCACTTCACTGTGGATTTTATTAATTCTTTGCTATAACACTGAGCTAAGAAGGAACTGAACAGCTTCCTTTACACAGATATTACTCAAGAAAAGGAAGGAATTATCATTCCCATGTCATCTTCTGGAATATTTAATACGCAGAGTTAACATTATAATTCATTTGACAAGGTTTTTTTCATTCTAACTAAAGAGTTTGCTATACAGCAGAAGTTCAGAGCTAAATATAATTCAGACTGTATATTCAATTGCAAAATTATTTTTCTTCCAAGCAACTTGTACAGAATTATTGTAGGCTATAGTGTTTGATTTCCATGGTCCTCGAAGCCATGGTTCCAGGAAAACAAGATTTTCTAATACCACCATGAACAGGCTATAAACTGTGTCCCACTGACTGTCCCTGACATGAAACAGCTTCCCCAGCATGCAAATGTGATGGAATAGCAGGCAAGTAATATCCTTGCCCTCTTCAGATTGACATGAGCCTGCATATCACAGTCAGCAAGTTTGACAAGCTGAAAGAAAAATGTTCCATGATAGAGAATTTTCACATAAATGTATTCTTGTATTCTTGGCTAGAGACTGAAAATACAGTTAGGCACAATCGTGTACCTATTTACCTGGGACAAAGTTTCATGGAACTCATTAAGACCTGAGTAGAACTTCTGAGTAGATATTGGGTTGCAGTGTAAGTGTATGCTGTGATTCCAGGTTGCAGTGACAGAGTCAAACTAAATGTCACGGGAAAGTACAAATTGCATACACATTTATTTATCTGTCTTGAAAAAAAGCCACTTCCATTTTTGAGTAGAGAAACTGCTTACACTCAAGAAAAGAAGTGATGGGGGCCAGGGGTTCTAGTGCCCACCTGTCCATGAAGCTCACTGAGTAACTTTGGGCCAGTCACAGACTCTCAGCACAACTTCAAAAGAAGAAAAAAAGCCAAAATATAAATGCAATGCAGTAACGCTCATCATCTGCCCAGAAATGCTGTTTATCTGCTTTTTACCTATCAGCATCCAGATGTGTATTTACCATGGCAAATATTAATGTTTTCCTTCCAACAGGGAAATCTATTTATAATTATCATAACTTTATTGTCTTTCTAGGAAGTGGAACATTATGTGGCTCTACTAAATCACTTTCAAAGCATAAGAGATTGAATTCATATTTCAAGGTAGGAAAGGGTAATAAATTTATACCACTGCAAAATAATCCTTTCCGATTATTTCTTTGTTTCGCATCATTTCCAGAGATTGCCTGCCTTTGTAATTATCTAATGTTTTAAATAAAAGCATCATATTCTGCAGATTTAAAATCAGGGAGTTATCAGTAGAGTTAGAATAATTTCTGCTCTATTTTACATCTGACTACTCTCAAAACTGAATTTTACTTTACCATTGTCTCTCCAGTTGAACTATGGAGTCATCCATCAATAACTCTTCACAGTTTACATACTGCTTCACTATCCTGACAAATTTCATATCATTTGAAATCAAAACAGCTTTAATGATTGGAGAAGGTTTTCCTAGATACACTTTAGCATAGTGAAAGGGTTTGAGAATGTCAAAGAAGCCAAGATCAGTGCCACGGAGGAAACCAGACTCTCTTGCTAGGCTGGTCTCTTGGCAGGGTCACCGAAGAGATACCAGAGTAAGATACATCTGCTGTCTTCAGGAATACCAGTCACATCAGCCAAGGTAAATGGATGGTGATGGGGACAGAGAAACTCCCCATGTAGTAGTTGAAGACAAAAGTGGCAAAGGATGTTTCACAGACAATAGCAGTGATGCTCAAGTTAACTTTGATTAGCGCTGAGCAGAAAAAGGCAGTGGTAAGCCACTGCAGAATCATTTT